TCCTTGTCCCAACGTCCTTGGAGTCCTTCACATTCATGACTGACTGGCTTTTGGCCCCCGCCGACACCCTCACTCCATAGCCCTCCGTGCCTTTAATGGCACACATGCCATGCTTTGTTTCAGGTTTGCTTCGTGGGGCGAATAGCGAACTGTGCATCAGGGCGTTCTCCTGCGAGGTACAGCAACACTCCTGTACCTCGTTACTTCGCCTCCTTGAAGTTCTTCACTTTCATCTCTCTTGCTGGAGCTTTGTTCTATGGGATTTTTCCTGCAGGCTTTCTTGAACAGGTCCATCTCCTCCGGCTGTTGGCCAAGACCCGGGCTCAAGGCGTTCCGCAACAACTTCGGGCCTCGGCAGTCGCAGCTTACGTAGCCCGCTGGTCAGCCCTCCTCTCCGCGGCCGCCAGTCGCACCTTCGCAGCCAGCCTTTTGTTCGAAGACTCTGCCAACCACTCCAACATCGATACCAGCCTCCCTGAGCTCAACGACCTGCGCCCCCAATGCCCAGAGCCCCCAGCCCATTCAAGACTCCCGAGCCACTGACCCCCCCTTGTGGGACTCTGGACTTTAGACTTTGCACATCTGGGGACAGGCCAGTATAAAAACTGTCAAAGCAGCCACCCGACCTAACTCACGCAGAAAAAGGCGCGAGAAAAAAAAATGGCACGCCAACTTGAATTCCCTCTTCAGGTAGGATTTTTTCCCCATCAAGAAGTCGACAAATTCCTTCAGGGCATTCTCGTCTCCCACCATGAAGACATCGTCCACATGGACTGTGATGTAAACCACCTTGTGTCATCAACAATGTGGGCTGCATGACACCCTGTTCCATGCCAAACTCCTTTGCAGCTCCAGTGAAACCACTGCGATGCTGCTGTTCGTTGTCCTGGCAAGCACTGTAGACCTTGCCATCAACTTCCACATAGGCCTTCCCATCTTCAGTTTGAACAGCCATCAAATATGCGTTCTTGATGTCTAACGTCATGGCCACGAAATGCCTGAATACCTTGAGCATGAGGTTGATGAACAACTTTGGTATTACTACATAGCATTGATGTCGGGGCGAACAATTGCTCCATGTCCACGCTAGACTTGCACTGTCTTGCCACCAGATGTGCTCTGCGAAACCATCCTCCACGTTCAACCCTATGCTTCCAGCAGTAGACGAACTTCGTGGATATCAGTAGCCTTCATTGTTCTGCATTTCCTTCTTGGGTTCACCTCCTCCATCACGGGACCTCATTTTTTGCCTCATAGTCCAACATCCTGAGGTGCTAATCTGTTGTGGTTGGTGGTTCCTCATCTTCTCCTTCATTCGCCTGCAACTCCTCATTCACTTCTTCTGGCACCATGGTGTAGTCGAACTCTTCATCGCCATGTGCTTCGATATCGGTAGCTCGTATCCCTGCAAAATGCGGGGGTACAGCCTTGAAATCTTCGCTCGAAGGTGCGGTTGTCTCCTTTGCTCCTCTTTCCTCTTGGTTCTTCTGTTTCTTCTCTGGCTTCACTTTCTCCTCCTGGGGCTCTCTCTTCTCATTGCCTTTCCTCAGTGACTCCGTCCTATCTTGTCTCTTCTCTTCTGGCTCATCGATCACCGTCTCCCTTGCTGATCTCTTTATCCTCGGTGTCAATGGCGTAGGTGCTGATATTGTAGGTGCGCCCATTGCTACTGCAGGTGTGTTTGGCTGTCCATGTAAGCCTGGTGTTGGCCTCACTACTGGCTTGATTTTTTTCACCCCTGCCTCTGACGTGAGCTTGTCCTCCATGGTGCATCAGAATTCCCTGTGGTGAGTAGCTCCACGGCAAACCCTTGGCGATCACCATGTCTGTAGCTCGAAAGCACTCCTCGGGTGCACACCTTCTGATTGTTCTTGGCTCCCTCTGGTGTGAGGATCAAATGTTGATCATTTCAGCAACATGCCGCGCTCAAAGGTGTCACTGGCTTTGTATGTGACCAGACGTTTGAAAAGCACGGTTTCTCCATACAATGCAAGCTTCCCATTTAGGCATGTCCAGTTGCCAGGTCACAGCGGGCGGAGCTTCGGCTGTACACGCGGATTTGCCTCGCCTGTACACGCGCAGAATTTACCTCGGTTGTACACGCGCTACTCGGATGTACACGCGGCTTACTCGGCTGTGCACGCGGCTTGCTCGGCTGTACACCGTGGTACTGTGGAAACAATGAGCAAAAAGAGATCATCACGTAGATGAATGTCCAGAGGGACGTTGTGTATGCGCAGGTGAGGCGAATCATGTGTGCGCAGCTGAGTTTGAGGTTACATGGGCTGTTTAAAGAAGAATGTAATCGATGTGAGCGCAGCTGAAGCGAATCGTGTATGCGCAGGTGGGTTAAATATACAAAAAAGTCTGTGTGCGCAGGTGAGGCGAAATATGTGTGCGCAGGTGAGGCGCCATCCGTCATAGCTGGTGCGGCCAATCTTCTCCAGTACCCTGAAGCGATAAATGAGGAATGGTGCATGGCTGGATGCCCATGGGTACATGCTCCCATCGTTCTGGATGTGAGCCTTGGTCTCGGCAAATGACCGCAAACAGTTTGCCATCTTGCGTACTGTCTGTACAGCTCTCTCAGCTTGGCCGTTTGAGGCATGTTGGCCACTTCCAGTCAGACGGATCTCGCAGGGCAAACCCATAACTGTCCTATAGCAAAGCTAGGGCCTCGCACATGGAACAATTACGAACCGACGGCAGGTTCCAGGTTCCCAATGGTGCGTCGCAGGGGGAACATTTTACGTTGCTGAACATGGGAATTCCGACTCCACTCCCGCACTGTATTGTTGCAATTGTTTGCTGGCTCATCCCCAGCGTAGACCTCGTTCTGGTTGTCCAAGTGGTCATTGTTCACGGCAGTAAAATCTTGCGTGCGTTTCGCGGCGAACGCTGAGTGATGGGACTTGTACGTAGGTGTCTACACTCACCGGGCCGGGTCAAAACATAGTCGCACATTCCCTCCCTGGCTTAACACCCGGACCTTGAGTTCCCAAAACTCGAGCACCCCTGGACAAACAGCTGGTGCAAAACATTTGGGAAACGTAAAGGGAACACACGGACACGGGAAATCATTGTAGGTGATCAGTGATCACGCCTTATGCACGCAGTGTTGTTTAAGGAATCAATCTTTCAATGATGGTTCGGTGCATCCCACCACCCAACTCCCCGACAACACACAACTCCGTTCCAACCAACTTACTACTATATAATGTAGTATGATAGAGTATAGTATGGTACAGTCTTGTGTTGTATTAGTATTAGTATTAGTATTAATATTAGTATTAATATTAATATTCGCATTCGTATTCGTATTCGTATTAATATTCGTACTAGTATTAGTACTAGTATTAGTGTTCGTATTCGTATGCGTATTCGTTTTCGTGTAGAAATAGTATAGTATCGTATCGTATTAGCATTCGTTTTCGTATTCGTATTAGGATTAATATTAGTATTGTTTTAGCCTTCTTACCGCCCTCTGTGGCGGGTGTCGCTACTGTTCGTGATTTTCCCTTCGTGCTCGTCGCCATCGTGCCTGAAGTTTCACTCTGTTTCTTTATGTTTGAGGTAGGTGCTTTCCTTCGTTTTCGTTTTAATAAGGTGGGGGTGCCAAATGGGCACTCTCCCCGGGAACCGTTTTGTAATCAATCTCTTTATTTCCTTTCTGTGATCTGTGATGGTGTTCCGTATGCCTCGACAACAGAAAAAAGAGTACTCGTGAACAGTAATAGTAATAGTTGTTTATAGTAATATTTAAAGTAATGTTAATAGTGATAGGTTTGATATTAGTGTTAGTATTAGTATTTTTGTTAGTGTTGGTAACAGTATTAGTTATAGTAATAGTAGTGGTGTATGGAATAGTAGTGTTGTATGGTACGGTATGGTATGGTATGGAATGGAATGGTACAGTATAGTATTGTATCGCATCATATCGATAGTTGTACTGGTTGTGGCTATAACCAATTTGTGGTTGTAATTGCAGTGGTGGTAGGCGTCAGTGTTGTTTGCGTCTGAATCATAGTATTTTTTTACCTTGTGTAGTTTTCAAAACTGGCAAACCGTGGGAACAGCCAAAGGAAGGAGGCAACCTGCCATCTAGCAAGGCTGTGACACTGTGATCTTTAGCGCAGGTTCTAGACTTGTTGTTGGTAGAGTGCGTTAATGTTGCGGAACCTTCTGTGACGCGTGCTTTTTGTGACAAACTGTTTTTCAACAGTTTTTAATTCCACCGCCTAGTTCTGTTTGGCCATGTACGAGCCCCTAGCCAGCTAGAGCCATAGCATGAAGCCGCTGGTGTTTGTTTATGCCGGTTTTACCTGTTTTTTATTTTTGCGATTGACTATGCCTATGCCATCCGGATACACACGCCCCAACCCCTTCGGTGCGGGCGGGTATTTTTCCGATCCCCTTTACAATGCCATAGTTTCCCGGAGGAATGTTTTTTTACGTTGCACAGGCACAGGGCTGTGACGTCAGAAACAGTTGAAGTAAGCAGGACGCGGCTGCTGTATGTTTTTTATGTGTGGCTGGAGGTTCATGTACACTGCGCAACTTGACGTGGAACCAATCTTTACACTATGTAAGTATGTTTACGGCCTTGCCTTGCTGCCGTTAATTTTAACGCCTGCATACCTTCACAATTATATAGGACATTCAAAAGTATTCCGATCAATACACAATGGCAACATCAAACACAAATTTGCACTACCAAAGTGGTTGGTTGGTTGGTTCTCGTAGTGGCGTTGTAACAATTTGCGTTGTTGTGCTATGGAGTCTTTCGGAAGGGTTGGTGGTGGTTTGTTGCAATTCTTGCCCAGAAATATATAAGGGCTTATGAGGGGGGGATGAGGTGTCGTACGTGGTGTTTCCTTTTTTTGGGGTTGCCACTGTGTGAGCGATATGTTTTGAATCTTGGCAAAGTTTCGTTTTGCCGTTGATGTTCCCAGTTTCCAACTTTCCTCATTAATCCTTTGAATTCGCATGCTTTCGGCCCGAAGCCTAGTCAAGGCATTTGCATGGCCCAGGCCCCCAAAAGCCTGCTTGTTTGCACCTTCCCGATCTCAGTGTAGAGTAGGCTTGGAACCTTTCAAAATCGAGCTAAGATTGAGCAATTGCGGCCAGGATTTTCAGAACCTTGCAGATGCGAAAGTACTTGACCTATTTTGCAGGACACCCTCTTCGAGGTCATGTGTTCTGGGTGGCCTCGCCCTTGGATCTTGATGTGTTGCAAACTGTTTGAGGCATAGCATAGCATGCAATTTTTAAACAGGTTTTTCACGTGGAGTCATGTTTTGGCTGCCTCGTGCGCCAGTCCCGTTGGATTCCACATGTGTGTCAGTCGCTTTTACAAAGCATGACTTGATCATGTTTGATTGCAGCCTTGGGGCTCTAGATCATCTCTAACCGTACCGGACTTTATTTGCAATCGACCCGCCACGAGGCCAGTGATCGATTGTTGCGCTCGCTGAAATTCTTGGGCCTGAAGCGTTCCCAATCGATGGTTTGAGGTGTCTCATGATTTACACGTGGGTTGGGCTTTTGCTCAGTCATGCCAGAGCAGACTGCCAATTAGAGGCAGGCATTGAGACCTCATTCTTGCAGATCTCCATCGAAAATGTGACGCTACATAGTGTCAGTGAAGGCGATGCGTGGATTGGCATGGAGAACATGCACCTGAGCATATACCTGATTTGCTTCTTGCTCATCCCAATTTGCGCAGTGGCATTTGCAGGCCCCAGATGGGCCCTGGCTACAATGATCACCTGTGCAGACTCCCTTTGCACGGAGTTGCCCATGGCCATTTTCGCTTTGGTGGCTGAAGACCCATTCAGTTTAGGAGCGCTGGTGGCAACCAAGCCGTTGGGGCAGGCACTGGCCACCCCGCTGGTCATCCAATTCACTCGCCAGAGGGAGCTGCACTCCATGAAGCTTGGGTTGCTTTTGCAAAGTGCTGGGCTCTTTCTACAAGCTTTTACCCCAAGCTTGGGCGCTTGGTTTGCCGCGCGTGCCGCCCAGGGTGTAGGTTCAGCCCTCATGCTGGGTGCAATCTCAGCGATGATGGGGGACGCTACCAAGGAAACTGGTGACTCAGGCAGAGGCCTTTTCACATATAGCATGTGGCTGGGTTTAATTTGTGGTGCACCCTTCGGAGGCATTTGCTTTGCAATCGAGTCCTTCTTGCCATTCCTTTTTTTGGGGCTTGCTGATTTGATCTTGCTGACCGCATTGCATTTCAAGATGGATGCCCCATCGAAGCCCATGCCTGGCATTCCTCGAGATGTTTTGGCCCCCTTGCGCTATCCCATGATATCGAGACCGTTAGCACTCCTTTGCTTGGTGGTCATGTATGGAGCCGCTTTGCAGGCAATGATTTTCAAAGTCATGGAGGAGGACCTGGCGGGATTGAAAGAGTCTCCCACAAACAGTTTTTGCAAAAGTCCATAGCAAGCACTCACTCATGAGCGGTAGATCATCTAAGATGACACGCACAAATCAAGAAGCTTGTACATGAGACCGCAACTTTGCCCGAGCAGAAAAGCTTCGCATGGTAGCGGAGCCTGAGAAGCCAATCCCGTAGGGATTGGTGGAGGCTCTTGTTTTTTTCATTTGGCGCCATAGGCCCTTTGCCCTGCAGTGGACTACATCCTAAGGTTGAAGAAAGTCCCTGAAGTTGAGATTGGTGGCCATGGCTGGAGTTGGAGAAGCTGGAGCTTCACCTTCCTCTGCAGCAGGAGGTGGAGAAGGGCGAGAGATCGCCATGAGGATGATCCAAGCCGCTGAAGCGGCTGCTCTGGCTGCGCAATCGGCCGCGGAGGCCCTCAGTCGACGGCAAGGTGGAGAGAAAACTTGGTTTAAGGTTTTGCCAAAACCCTCACAGCTGGACGCAAAGACCAGGGAGGAGGAACTATCCCAGTGGAGGGACTTCAGTTGGGGCCTTGAACAATATTTGTCCTCCCTGAACGGCATGTTCACAGAAGATTTCAAAGATATCAGGGCAAGGCCAGATGACCCGATCGACTCCAGCATCCAGTCTGATGAGGAGAAGCAACGAAGCAAATTTTTGTATTCACTGCTAGCATCCCTTGTGAAGCAACGCCCTCTCGCCATGATCCGCCAGGTGAAGGAGTCCAATGGCATGGAGGCCTACCGCCTCTTGATCCAAAGCCTCGAGCCCACCTCCAAGAATCGTGCATTAGGTCTGCTGACCATGATCTTGGAGTGGAAGCCCTTCGACATGAGGAAAGGAGGCATTCTTGGACAACTCCTACGCTTGGAAGAGGTCTTTGTGGAGTATGAGAAAACGGGTTCAAAGCTGGAAGACAACATCCGCTTTGCAGTCCTGATGAAATGCATCAGCGGACAGCTCAAAATGTGGCTCCAGCTGAACGTTGCCGAGTTCCAGGATTACCAGAAGCTCCGAGAGGCCATCGTGCAGTATGACAACGCGACGATGAAGTGGACGAATGTGATGATGCTCGGAGCTGATCCTGGAGGCGGAGAAGGTGTGGTGCCGATGGAGATTGACCGCATCAAAGGAAAGGGCAACGACTACAGCAAAGGCAAAGGGCAAGGGCAAGGACTTCGATAGGAAGGGCAAAGGCAAGGGCGAGCCGAAAGGCAAGAGCAAGGGCAAAGGCTATGGAAAATCCCAGGACTTCGGTGGCAAATCCCAGCAGAAGAGCGCTGGCAAGGGAGAAGGCCAGAAAGGTCAAAAAGGCAAGTCAGACCAAAAGACTTGCTTCACCTGTGGCAAAGCAGGACACTTCTCGAAGGATTGCTGGCAGAGGCTTCGACAGGTGAGTGAAGCTAAGCCGAGCGCAGAAACTGGGACGGTGGCTTCGAGCACTACCACTTCGAGCCAAGGTGCAAGCTGGAAGTCTGGGTCAGTGAAAAGAGTTGAAGGAGTTTCACAAGTTGAATTCGAGAATGAGCCCATGGTTTTTGACTTGAGGCCAATGTCGATGCCGAGCACAGCTGGTAGACAGATCAGAATGGTACAGTTTTTCTCCATCTCTGAAGAGCACGAGCCCAATGACGACCACATTCAGGAGATCTACCACATCATGGCTGTGCGAGGGCATCAGAATTGCATGCGAGAAGAGGATCAAGTAAAGGTGATCATCGATTCAGGAGCTGATGCAACCATTCTTCCAAGCTCCTACTTGGATATTGGCACCGAGCTGGATGAGGGCGCACCCAAGCTCCAAGATGCTCAAGGAGTACCAATTGAGGTGCGCGGCTACAAGCAGGTCTGCTTCATTTTCAAGGCGGACAACGACAAGGAAGTGCAGATCTTCGACAAGGCCCACTTCTCAGATGAAATTAGCCAACCCATCATTTCGTATGGCAAGTTGATGGAGGCAGGCTGGAACATAGAGGCGGGGCAGATGAGTGGAGGCCAACATTCCATGACGTTTGGTCTAGGGCACAATGTTGTGAGGATTCCACTTCAGCTGCAAAACCGTAGTTTGGTGGCCACTGGACATCTACGCACAGTGGTTGAGAAGCCTGCAGGTCCTATGATGGTGAGAGTGTTGGAGGCCAAGCTCTTGGACGACCTCCAGATGAAGGCGAGATATCAAGTTGGATGGAAGCAAGTGGACAACCGATGGGTTGGAGTACATCTGGCCAAGAAGTTCCAGACACCACAGTTCGTGGGCGAGATTCCTTCGACGACAGATTGGAGGCGAACCACGCTGGTGAGAGTGAAAGGTCAGTGGCAACTCTATGAGATGTGCGAGAACCTCCATGGACTTGCAGATCAGGAGGAGGAGATTGAGAATGTCGAGGATAACACCTTGATCTTGACCATCCTCACTCCTGAGGAGGTGAGCACTGAGGAGATGGGATTCGAAGTGGATACTGGTCTTGATTTGAGGCCAAGAGTTGAGCCAGGTGCCATGGCATTGAGGGAGCACGAGATCCCGATGGAAGAGCCCCAGAGGCTTCAGGAGACAGAAGATGGTGATGCAGAAGCAGTTGATGATCGAGCAGCTGTTGAGGTGGCAGCTGCTGGTGATGGAGCAACAGCAGATGAGCAAGAAGGCCGTTTGGTGCTAGAAGCTGGCTTGCCGGACCATGTGATAGTGAATGACATTCAGTTGACAGCGACAAGCAAACTCAGAGAACTCCGAGCAGCCTGTCACTTGTATGGCATCAGCCAGTCAGGCAGTCGGCTTAAATGCTTTCAGAGAATTGTGAGCCATCTCAAAGAACGTGAACTGAAGGCGGCATCAGAAGCAGTTGCAGCCGCAGAGTTACAGATGGCAAGACAACCAAAGATGCAGAACATCATCCCGGTCCCTTCACAGCAGGTGCAGGATCTTCATGCACTCACACACGTGCCATATCAACCGTGGTGCGAGGTCTGCTTGAAGTACCGAGGAAGGCCGGACAGACACCTGAGGACAGGATCTTCTCACACTGGTGGCATTCCAATCATTTCTTTGGACTTTGCCTACACCAAAGCTGGCGAAGTGGACAGGGCACCCACCGTTCGAGATCCAGGCCATGATCCTGATGATGATGGAATGGCGATCGACCTCTATGACCAGGAGGAGCAACCAGAGGCTAGAGAGCCCAGGATCAGAGAGCCAAACAGGAAGCTTGGGAGCCGTTCCCCTCCAATCGAAAGGACAATTGAACCTCATGGCCAGAGAGATCATGAACTTTGTCCAGAGTTTAGGCCATGTTGAGATTGGACTATATGGGGACAACGAGCCGACAATTCGCTCCCTCCTCCGGATTCTTTTGAATAGCAGGCATGCTATGGGACTTCGAACTCGCTTGTACACCACAAAGGTGAAAGATTCTGCAGGCAACTCCCTTGCTGAGAACGCCATCCAACGAGTACGAGGCCTTGCATGCACATTGATGGGTGAGGTCATAGCAAAGACTGGTCAGGTTTTCAATACCAACCATGGATTGTGGAGTTGGGCGGCGCGTCATGCATGCTGGCTGTTGAACAAGTTTCAAGCAACGAAGGGCATCACAAGTCACGAACTGGTCCACGGCAAGACCTACAATGGAGCTTTGGTTCCTTTTGGATGCCCCGTGTATGCTTTTGTGAAGCCCCAATCAGGCAAGGGCAACCCTCGATGGCGGATGACCCTGTTTCTTGGAAAGACTGAGGGTCAAGACTCCTGGATCGTGGGAGACGGCAGCCAAGTCATGCTGACCAGGTCTGTGAGAAGAGTGGACCGTCCATGGAAGAACTTCGGAGCCTATTACCAGAACTTTGCCACCTTCACCTATGAGTATCAGATCAACTTTGGTGGGCGCATTGTTCCTAGCAAGCGAGCAGCAAGTGCGGTTCCACTGCAACTTGGTCCAGCACCTCCTCGAGATGAAATCCTGTTTAGGTATCGAGATGAAGAAGCTGAGGAGGTGGAGCGCTATGCATTGTCCAAAGAGGGCCAGGAGGAAAGCCAAAGAGAGATAGATGAGGCCCTTGAGCCTGATGCACCAGCAATGATTGCAGAGGCTGGAGAACCAGCGCCATCAGCCCCACAGAGAGGAGAGCCCAGTGGAGGATTGCTGACACCCCCAGCTCTTGGAGATCAACCTGGGGAGAGGGGCGCAGGAGGAGAAGTTCCAATGGTCATTGAACCGCTTCCTTGGGATGAGGACGCACTACCTCCTGAAGGACGAGTTCTGAAGAAACTCCCTCCTCCAGAATCTGCAGTCAGGGCCGAGCCAGAGGCCAAACGGGCGAGAACAGAGAAGCCACCAGAAGGAGGAGCAAGCTCATCTGGACATCAACAGCTCGTGGAACGCAGAGTGGAGAAGGTGTGTGTTGGAGGAGACACCATGTACCACCTGGACGAAGTGGTGGACGTTGAGACGATGGCCATGGAAGAAGGAGAAGAAGACGTTGAGGACTTGAAACCTGGTGCCATCCCTGAAGAGCTCTGGAGTGATGCTCCCTTGACGAAAACACCTCCTGATCCAAGTTGGGAGGTAGACCTCTTGGCGAACAAGGTGGAGGAGCAGAGATTGATGAGGATGGATGTCATGGAGAAGCTCAAACCAGAGGACGCTCATTTGGACAAGCTCACCACTCGCTTTGTCCATGATTGGAGGATTAAGCCCTATCCACAACCTGATGGGAAGTCAAGGAAGCGTTGGTTGAGGAGAGCGAGGCTGGTAGCCAGAGAATATGCAAATGATCGATGCGATGAAGTCTATAGCCCAGCTTCAGGACAACACTCTCTTCGACTTCTGCCTGCATTGTTCCTGAACAACATTGTGGTGAGTCAGGGCATTGATGGAGAGCAGGGACCGCCAGTGTTGGGTGCACTTGACATAAAGGATGCATTCCTGCAGGTTCCCCAAGAACGACCTCTTCAGATCACGACCAATACTGGCTACTACAAGGTCCTCAAGAACATTCCAGGTCAGAGGATTGGAGCAAAGGCATGGTATGAGTTCTTGAGAACTTATCTTGAGGAGGAGCTCAACTTCGCCTTTGACGTGGTGAACCCATGCCTTGGAAAGAAGGGCACGGACAGTGAACTGATCTGTGTGCTGGTACACGTCGATGATGTGATGTTCACTGGAAGGCAGAAAGCTGTGGACGCTTTTGTGTGCAAATTGAAGGAGAAGTTCGAGGTGGAAGTGTCCATGGTAAGAAACTATAACGATGAGTTCGCCTTCCTGAAGCGCAAGTACATCTATGTCCCAGAAGGTTTGCTGGTGAAGCCTGGACAGTATGCCACGAAAATGATCAAGACCTTCGAGGACAAATATGGCCCTGTGAGGAGACAAAGACTTCCTGCCACTTCAGACATCCAGGACGCAGATGGATCCAATGTTGTTCCCCCAGAGCACGCGTCAGTGTATCGTTCCATTGTCGGCATGGGCATCTACCTTTCACAAGAACGCCTGGACATTAGCTTCGTTGTGAAGGAGTTAGCAGGAAAGATGTCAAACCCCACGGAGTTGGCCATGCAGAAGGCAAGGAGGTTGGTTGGGTACCTCAAAGAGACGGAAGAGCAACATATCCTTCTACCCCTTCCAGTTCAAGGAGAAGGACTACATGGTCACAGCCATGAGACTTGGTTGCTTGAGAGCTTCACGGATGCTGATTGGAGCGGCAACCGAGGAACAAGGAAGAGCACTTCGTCTTCGATTCACGGGTTGAACGGCATGGTGATCTACACCACCTCCAGAGGCCAGAAAGTTGTCAGCCTCTCATCAGCAGAGAGTGAGCTACATGCATTGGTGGCTGGCGCATGTGATGGCATATGCATCAAGCACGCCTTGGAGTTTCTCACAGGAGATCCAGTACATCATGTTTGCTGGGTCGACAACTCCGCCACCAAACAGATTGCCAACAAGCGTGGAGCTGGACGACTTCGCCACATCAGTGGCAAACTCCTCTGGTGCCAGAATAAAGTTGCAGAAGGCACGATGGAGGTCAAACAAATCAGTACCACACTGAACCTGGCCGACATCGGCGCGAAACCACTTTCGAAAGCGCGGCTCAGGCTATTGCTCTACTGGTGCAACGCCAGGAATGGAGATGGAAGCCGCGTAGGTGAGCAGGAGTACCAGGACTTTGAGAAGAGCCACGTCGAGAAAGGGAAGATCATGAGAATGGCAAAGTACCTCAACAGGATCATTCTCCTGAGCGGTCTTGAGCTGGCCGCGGGCAACAAGGTTGAGGAGAACTACATTGAGATCAACTACATGTTCCCCTTCCAGTGGTGGCTTGGCCTGGTCATCTTCGGCTTTCTGATGTTTGCCATCATGTTCCTATGGAGCAAGGTTCAAAGTCTGGAAAAGAGGGTCGCCTTCCTACAGCACCGAGTCGAAATGTGTGAACAAGCCCACAAGGACAACATCGAGCAGATGGACAAGGAGAACTCCATGACTGCAGACTACGTGGAGCGAGTGCACCGAGGGCTAATCAAGCTTGGAGGGCATGTAGAAGACCCATCAGTTCAGCGAGTTGAATGGCAAAGCCTGAACTACATCCAGAAGATCAACACATGGCACGAGGGCCTGGAGCTGAGAGAAAGGTGGAAGAAGATGGAAACGATTCAGCAAGAAAGAGGAGAGCAGCTTCCTGGTGCCGGCATTGTCAATATTGATGTTGATCCTGGAGAACCCGGGCTAAGTGGAGAGACGGCAGTCATCATTTTGGATGGTGGCCGAATTGTGCAGGTCCCAGTGGAGTATGTCGAGCCGGCAGGTGGTGAGACATCAGGAGATCAGATTGGTGACACATCGATGGTGGAACCAGAGCCTTCACCTGGAGAAGATGAAGTACCAGACCACGAGATGGAAAGTGAGCGCGAAAGTGCGCCTGAGGTTGTAGATGCTGCATGGGAGCCGGAAAGCATTAGGATTCCGCACGGACAGTTTGTCCATTTCAATCGGGCATACAATCGTGCAGACTTGATTGCCCGAGAAGAGCTTCTAAAGATGGAAGCGAATTGGTTTCATGGCCATAGAAATGGCACAAGAGCTTTGATGGACGAAATGCAGGATTTGATGAAGGAATCCGTGCACCATGTCCACAATTTCTATCCATAGAGGATTTGTTGGCCTAAGAGTAACAACCCAAAAGGCCAAAGGAGGAGTGCAAAAGTCCATAGCAAGCACTCACTCATGAGCGGTAGATCATCTAAGATGACACGCACAAATCAAGAAGCTTGTACATGAGACCGCAACTTTGCCCGAACAGAAAAGCTTCGCAGTTTTGTACCATTTTGTACCAATATTCTAACCATGTTCAAATTTTTTTGTGCCAATCATGTTCAGCTTTGGAGAGACCACTCTGGTGTTTGCAGTGGAATCTCCTTGAGGATTTTCAGCTCGGAGTGGTGCCTGCAAGCTTCACCTGGCTCTTCCAGGCATGGCCGATGATACTCACAAGCCTGCTTTTGGGGCCTGCTGCTCAAGGCATTGGATTCCGGCTTATCATGCTCACGGGTCTTCTGGTGGTTGGCTCTGGTGCACTCATTGTTGATGACAAGTCTTTCATGTGCTTGATCGCAGAGCTGGTCGTGGCTGGCCTAGCGCTCGGTGCTGAAAATGCCACAGTGCCTCGATTGCTCGAGGATGTTGCCAGTCGAAACTTTGACGACACCTCTGCCACGTGGACACTGTTGAACTTGGGCCAGCAGATTGGCTATGTTCTAGGTCCTCTCATCGGCGCAGTGCTTTATCACGTTGGCGGCTTGCGAACCATGTGCAGAGCTTTTGGCGTCTTACTCATTGGCTATGCCTTGTCTCACACAGTGGATTGACTTTCGCTGGTCTCGCGCGAAAAGGTGGCGGTCTTGCAGTCAATGCTGCGACGATGTCCTGTTTTGGGGCCTGGACACGGGGAACATGGGATGTGCAGCTGCCCAGGCTGCCCAAGAGCAGGAGAGACAGAGAGATTTTTGAGAGGGAGAGATTGTTGAGACGAAGTGAGGACAGAGGGTGAACTTTTCAGGTTCAGTTGGTGCTTCCAAAGCTACACCAGGCTGGCGGCTGCCTACAGATGAGAAAAACTGCTTCACAACAAACCAGCCTTGCCAAATTCACAGCAGGAACAATCTTAGTATATAAACTCTAAAGCAGGCCGTTTTTTGGGATTGAAATCTTGTTCATCATGCTTGGTACTCCACCTCCTGAATTTCGGAAAGTGGACATTGGGTAAGGGTATCTACAGTATTTGGCGGGTGCAGGAGCACGATTGAGGAGCTTGAGGCGCGTCGCACGCAGTCGGGATGCCTGAACAGCTTAGCTTGAATGGGTTGTTTCGCTCGAAGGTATTCCAGTTTTGCGTGGTAGTGACAACGCCGGGTGAACATGATGATAAGGCTGTGAAGACACGATTTCACGAGCTTGCTGAGCTGAGTGTGTTCCGACACAACGATGAAACTGAACATACTGAATGTGGTGCTGCCTAAAATGAAGGGATTCGTTTCTATGGAAAAGGAGCTTTTATCCAGGGCCGTTGGCGAGCCGCAGTCCATTCACTTTGAACCAGTTCTCATGTTTGAGCCATTTTCATCTACCCTGAGATGATTGGAGGTACTACAATTATCCACGATTTACTGTAAGGTAGAGAATGTTTTCCTCGTTGATACGGTTGCATCCACCGTACCCACTCTTTGGCGTTGCCGAACTTCACCCGATCTTGTATCATCTCAACCTCACCACGGTCATTCATTCTGATTTTGTATTGCAAGCATGAAGGCAGACCAAAACTAACTTGAAGCCTAAGTAGGCCTCCATTTCATAGTATTTGATCTTGTCTCATTTCATCTCCATGGCCTTTTGGTTGCAATGTCCTGAGCACCAGCTCTTTCCTTGTCAGACTGCATGCATTCTGAACATGTTGCCTTTTTAAGGCTCGCGGGGCTGCTGCTGACATGCTTTGGTGTGCAAGTGCTTCGTCTTGCCACAGGGTGACAGGGAATGGATTATTTACAGCACTGTACTGTTATTGTCCATTTGGAACTGCAGAAGTATGAAGCAGGGCCCACAAGGGCAGTCATTTGCCATTGTAGTGATGCTTTTGGCTCCAGACAGCTGCTGTCCATGCTCGGGCTTCTAACTTGCCTGGTCGTGGACTTGGTCACATTTTTTGGTTTGATTGAGCTAGAATTCGGGAGCATTTTTGAGCTCTCAAGTCCCTCAAGTCCTTCAATCTTCGAGCTATCAAGGGAGGCTGGTGCGAAAGTCATTTCTCAGGTGTTTGGGGGGGGCCTTTATATGTAGTGAGCGGTGAATGCGCGTGAGGTGGGAAACAAGGCCCGCTGCACTTTGTGTGATTGGGACTTGTGGGCCTTGGTCGTTGTGGGGACATCTGCCGCCACCTTGGACCTTGCAACTTGGAAGCGACAGAAAGTGGTTTTGACCAGTTCCTTTTGTATCAGATTGCTGCAAGATGGTGAGTTTGATTTCAGCACGTTTCCTTTGTCTCTCCAGCTGGCCTTAGCAGCAGTTCAATCTTCTGTGAGCGCACAAGGTAAGCCTTGCCGTTGATCTTGGAACCTTCGGCAGCAGAACCCTTAGCAGCCTTATGGCTGAGAATTCTCTTCCAGCGTTTCACGGTTTCCTGGTGCTTTCAGGCTTCAATGTTGGGTGGAGGCTATGAGCTGCCAGAAAGGCGTGTCTTTGACCTCCAAGCATTGAATTCTGCCAGGCTGGCGCCTTGCCGCAGAATTGCACTGCTTGGGGCCATACTGGCACCTCTCCTGGAGGTTTGGTGTGTTCAGGCCTCACGGAGTGAACAGAACTGCTTTGCGTTGTGGTTTGTCATTCAAGTCGCTGAGAGTTTCTGGAAAGTCAGGGGCACTTACATGATTTTTTGGGTCCGAAGTACAGTTATTCTTTTCTATGTGTATAATTACTTGTGCTTGCTCATAGTGCAGCGCGAGCCCTGAGGGTTGATTTCTCTTTGCCACTCTCAGGAGGTTGTGTCACGCATGTGAATTGGAACACTGGTGTGAAAGAAGGCCTCATACCACCACCCGGAACTCAGCAGTGGCCTTTTAATGGACAAGGCCGCCAAGCCTGCATATTCTTGACTTGACTAGTGAGTCAAGCGAAGCAGCAAACAGCAACCAACCGCCGCCAAACAACCAACCAACCAAGATCAGCGCCCAGAGACTTCAGTGGTAGCTGAAAGACGTCCCACACTGGGGAAGAGATGGAAATAGTAATGCGGTAAAAGGGGTGCACCTGGGTGTACATTGTTCGTAGTCGCGCACACACACAACTGTTATGGAGTGTGGGGGACCCCAAGGTCTTCGAAGCCGCCTACTATGACTCCCTCGGCCCCAATAGTGGAAGCCAGCGAGTCGAATAAGATTGAGAGGATCAGCCTCCCATGGCGGAAATGTTCACCTAATCTTCCGCCAGAGCTGGGGCTTTGGGCTGTACTATACCTGGGAGTCAAAGTCTATACAAAGAATTGTCTTTAGGTGGCCCGAAAAGGCATTTCCTTTACTTCAGTCGGTCAAATAGTCTTGGGACTTCTAGGGTATGTACAGTACTGTTTTATTCAATCTGACATTTCCATTTCTCACTTGCATCCCCCGTGGTCTTCCAACCTTTCCAGGTGGCTTTGTGCAGTTACATCCCGCGGCATGAGTATCTCGTCTCAGCCTCATGACAGGGCGGATTTGGTGAGGGAAGGCTGCCACTGAGACATTTAAGCTCTTGATGGTCACTGTTTCCGGTGGATCGCTGTTGTCAGAAACCTCCATGTCGACATGGCCTGGCTGCTTGTAAGGTTGCAGCCCATATGCAAAGCTATGGACACATTGACGGGAGTTGTGTCCTTGGGCTTGACCTGCTCAATGATGGTCGCTTTTGCTGAATCACTGCTGTGGGAGTTGTTGAAGCGCTCAACCAAGCCCAACAGGAATTTGTGTTGATGTTGAACCTCGATGCCCGTCCTCAAAGATTTGTCCTCAAGAGATACTGGTTGTTAGATAGGGCTTCGTTGCACCATGCCATCGCCGATTCGGGTAGGAGATCTAGTGCAGCTTGGTGATGAAGAGATTGGCAGAGAGATTCTTGTGTCGCTGTTGATTGGCTTCGAGGGGTTGCCTTGGGTGGCTTGTAAATGGAGTTGTGTCAGGCACACCTTCAACAGCGCTACCGATAACTTTGACCAAGAAGGGCTGGTGAGCCAGGTCCTTTCGGCACCGCAAGCCTACGGTGGCACTGCAGCTCAGCCAAACTTGGTGACCACTGAAACATCTAACCAAAAAGCACATTTTCTTGGCACGCGGCACGCCGCTGTTTCTTGCCGCTTGTGACCATAGAGTCGGTATAGAAGCCCTTCCCCCCAAAAAAACAGGAGGTTCTGTGCGGTCTGGGAGACGCACTGCAACAGAGGTCTTGCCAGCTGGTTCAGTCGCGGTCTCCTCCTTGGATGGATCGCAAACCATGTGGATCAGCCAGGAACACATAGGCAGGTGGCTTTGGATGTTGATCATTGCTTTGTGGATCCACCGAGCCGCGAGTCCATATTGTAATTAATGGGCGCACACACACCCACAAACACACAGATACAGTATATGATATATACTGTATATATATATATACAAATTATATGTTCTTTGGGCTCTGTTCCTGAATGATTGGCAGTGTGCAGGGCTCAGGAAGTGTTTTGGCTCCATGTCCGTTTGTGGGGAGGAGATTTCAAAAGTTTACTTTTCCAGGAGTGATGCTGCGAATGAACAAGGCTGGGCGTGTGTATGTGTGTGGGTGCGAGCGCGTTACCAAACAGAACAAGGCTGCAGTAATGGTCATGACGCACCGCGCCCGTGTTCGACGCTGGCACAGGTGTCACCAAGCGTTGACGGACTCCAAACAGACTCGACGTTGCTAGACGTCGATAGTCCGACGGCCAGCACGCCGGACTACGGTCACAAGGTTGCGTGCACGCGTCTTTCTTTCGGTGATGCGTTGAGTGAGGTATTGACAGATGCTCGGCCACACTCCGTAACTACGAAATAGAATCTGGACAGTTTGCATTTTGGATTTTGCAAATGTTTGCAGTACTTGTTTAGTCAAGATGCAAATTGGTTGGATGTCGTGCCATTCAAAATTCACCCTCTTTCCCGATTTGGTCAAGGACAAGGCAACAGCGGGTTATGCTAATGCTAATGCTTCAATCTCGTCGATGTGGCATGGTGGCAAGTTCTACTGTAGGATCCAGCCAGTGTGAACGGCATGCTCAACCTGTTTTTGTCATGTCACATGGAATGAGTCTCTCAGGGGGTTGGTATGCAACAGTCTGTCAGTTGCATTGCCGTGCCGGGCGACGCGCATACGAAAGCTGTTGGAGTGTGTTTTTCCACGAAGTTACGAGATCGCTAGAGAAGACAAAACAACCAAAGCTTTTCCAGAACCGGCGCTTGAGAAGGAAAAGAGAGGAAGAAAGGAAGGTAAGGTCCTCTTTAAAGGGTTTGGTATGCCTTCAATTTGTCTCTTTCTCAAGTATCGGTCTTCTCCCAATACCCTTGTTTCGTGTGCGAAGGCTCGGTGCGGTCTCTTCCTTCTTTGGCTTGGGTGCGAATGATGCTCGTGCCATCAGCGATTCGAAGGGAACCAACGAAGATGTGGAGTCGGAGGATTCAGCGGATTCGGCTGAAGGAGCTCGAAATGAGGCCCGAGAATTTGCACAGACTTGCTGAGCCGAGCTGGTCGTGGATTGCTTTTTGAGCTTTGCAGGATCAGTTTTCCTTTTCTGAAGGAGATGTTGCCCGGCTTTGTATTTGTGTAGTTGGCAATGTTATGAACGGCCCTTCTGAGTTCCAGCATGATTCATGATCCAGCAATGAGAGTGAGAGAGGAGTTCATTCATCAACACAAGTTAAATTCTAATAAAAAAATATATATATTGTTTCTACTAGCTTCTTGTTCCTAGTAGTAAGGCCCTTGCTCCTAGTAGTAAGGCCAGGAGCCCCTAGTAGACTGCCTGCTTGATGCGACAACGCTCTGTTAACTCGTTGGAAGCGAGAAGGCAAGCTGTACCCTGTACACTGTAGGTCAGACAGCACTTGAAGTACCGAACACACGCCTAGCAGAAGCCTCGTTTTCAAAATATGTCAAGAAGTAGGCTTCAAACCTGGCTCCCGGCTTTAAATACCCGTGGCTTCAAAGTTCATCCGATTCTTCAGCTGCTGAAGTTCTTTTTGCCAAAAGGTTTTTTTCTAACACCGCGGGTTTCCTTCGACGCCCATTCTGAGGTGGTCGATCTTTGGAGCTACGAGACGTTGGAGTGGGAATTGGGAGGTGCAGTGACTCAGGCGCCAAAATGGATGGTGGAATCTGCCGACGTTTGTATTTTTTGGTTGCTGTTTTAGTTGGGTTTGTGCGGTGTGTTTTTGGGCGCTTCACATGGCGCAGTGCCAGGTGCTTTCCAAGCCCATGACTCTGGTTTCCATGGAGCTGCCTGCTGGGTCCATTTTGGTGTCTATGAAGGGCACCTTGAGGCGGCTGGGCCCAAACACATTTAGTAGCTCAACCACTGAAATAGCATGAGCCATACGAAATACAAGGTTTCGGTGCTGCAGTGCCACATACCAAGAGAGCGATTCATTGTTGATCGTTCTGAAACGCAGGTGGTTCACCCCAGAGCTGTGCAGCTTGGCAGTGCGTCGGTCTGAACTACCTAAGCTCCCCAGGGAAGATGAAGATCTGCATTTTCTGGAGGGTGATGAAGTCGAAGTTCTGGACCTGCATAGCTCCATTTGGCAGCCTGCCGTCGTGTCTGCTGTGGCCACGGTGACCTCCAGTTCAATCCCAGCGGGATCTTTGACAGTTTGCCTCAGAAGTGATGCCCAGACCTGCACCATCATTCCAGACATGTTTGGCAAGCTGGTTCGTAAGCCGCACCAACTCACTGCGCCTGCGAAGGATGCTGCGGATGCCGTGCAGGATGCGGAGTCTGCGGATGTAGGGCAGTGGAACCCTGATGCTGAAGAAAGCTGCCCAAAGGACACGACCCAGCTGTCAAGTCGATCATCGACGAAGCCAGACCGTGAGACAGCCAGCGAATCCGAATCAAGTCCCAAAGATGGTGTCCTGTCAGCTTCGTCGCTGAACATCCAAGGGTCAGGCCAGGACAGTAGCATCAGCGACTTCGTCTTGCACCAGGACGGCCTGCCATTCAATACCTCACCATCAAAGGAAGATGCCGACAGCCAATCGAATCCACAAGGTTTTGTGAACACTGTTCCCTCTGATGCTTCATCGGATCTTGATGGAGAAAGCAGTAGGCGAGCGTCACATTCTGGCAGAGACAAGTCCAATTCTGAAGACTTGGAGCATGACAAAGCCTCAGTGAAATGCAGAGCAATTCTGGGACACGATGATTCCATTGATAAGGTGCCATCCGATGGCACGACCGTCAGTGGACAACTGACACCACCGTTCTCTGCCACGCCCACGGCAGTTTCACCCAGCGCTTCCCCTGGCAGCCTTCCACACCCGGCACCCCGGCACGTGTCGGCCACTTCTTTGGACTTGGACGATCACAGAGAACGTGCCCCAAGTCCAGCTGGATCTGCAGCCTCACGGTCAGCTCCAGACACCGTTCGCCCTACGGTCAGCTTAAGGATCCCAGACATGGATGAGCATCTCAAAGGGGACTCTCGCCCAAGCACCCCAGCGGCAAGCCCGCGCCAATCAAGCCGAGTTTTTCAGCTGCACTTTCGCGGGCTTCCTTGTTGAGCGAAGGCTTTTTGCCCGAAGCACCGAGGTTCCGTCCACCCTCGAGGGTCCTCCCTATGAGCGCAATCAAAAGAAGGTGTTAGTGGTAGGCCCAGGCTTTGGCCGCGAACTTAATCCGCAACAAGGCTGGTCAGAGTTTGAGCATGTTTTGAGCAGCTGAGTTGCGAAAGCGAAGAAACACACGTGGCTGTTGAAGAAAGTGGAAAGATGACATGTTGATAGCATGTGCCTGGCAGGCCAGATTTTGGATGCGGCAGGGTTTCAAGCAGCTCGAATGATTGGCTTCAAGGTTCAGGTGTGGGCCATGCGCCATGCGCCCCACTGCTTCTTCCGAGGTTCGATGGGTCTATAACCTGCCGAACCCCGAGACGCCGCAATTTCCCATCGCCAGCTTTCTCCCAGATGCTCAGAGCAAAACAGGTTGACTCAGTACGTGTTCTTTTATTCTCCTTCATTTTTTGGTATGCACAGCGTGCTCTCTTCTATGCGACCCTACGGTAGGGACCTAGGTCCTAAAGCAAGCCATTGACGAGTTCCAGCCAGACCTGCTGATTTGCGCGTCGAAGGGAGGTGCATATGCCACCGGGCTGTGGAGAGCTGGGCTTTGGGATGGGCCAACGTTGCTCATCAACAGGCGAAGCGACGCAAAGCGGCACGAAGGGTTGAAGTGGTGCGTGTCACACACACACACACGGTGCATATATATATATATGTAGACTAGAGATAGAGAGAGAGACAGAGAGAGGGAGTGCAACACTTGGCAAAAGTTCTGCATGAAAGGCACCCAACCTTGACTGAAATGCCTAAGGGCACCCCGGTTGCAACTGGATTTTCAGATTTTCATGGCTTCGTCGCTGGCTGTGCTTTTAGCTGGAAGTCAGAGTTGACACTCAACTTGCTTCAGGAATGGTTGTGGTTCTGGCCCATGGATCCAATGATGAGTACTACAGGTTTCGCAGAGAGGAGTTGGAGGCTTTGGTACGGGCAGGCTCGCTGGTGAACTGGTGAACCTGCAATGACCAAGCAAGTTGCTTGCATGATGCCAATGATCCCTCGCACATTGTGCCTTTGAAGCTACTAAGTA